ACACACATTCTCCATTTTCTATTTTTCTTCTTAACTAATACGGGATTAGCTAGCCACTCCGGATGTGACACTTCCTTGACGAATTCGACCGCCAAAAGCTTCTGTACCTCCTCGCCGATGGCCCTGCGCTTCTCCTCGTCGAATCAGCGCAGGCGTTGCTTCACTGGTCTAGAGCCGGCCTGGATGTCGAGGGCGTGCTCGGCGACTTCCCTCGGTATGCCCGGCATGTCCGAGGGACTCCATGCGAATATGTCGGCGTTCGCGCGAAGAAAGTCGACGAGCACGACCCCCTATTTGCTGCCGAGGGTCGCGCTGACCCTCAACACTCGGTTGTTTGAGCAAGTGGGGTCGACCGGGACGAGCTTGACGGCCTCCGCGGGCTCGAACGTCCCGGCACGACGCTTCGAATCAGGCACCTCGCTGCTGAGCTGGTTGAGGTTGGCGATGAGGGCCTCGGACTCCACTATAGCCTCGGCGTACTCGATGCACTCGACGTCGCAGTCGTATGCATGCTCGTACGTGGAGTCAATAGTGATGACACCGTTGGGGCCCGGCATCTTGAGCTTGAGGTAGGTGTAGTTCGGGACCGCCATGAACTTGGCGTAGCACGGCCGTCCTAGGATGGCGTGATAAGTCCCCTTGAATCCCACCACCTCGAAGGTGAGGGTCTCCTTGCGGTAGTTGGAGGGGTGCCGAAGCAGACGGGTAAGTCTATGCGCCCGAGGGGTCGTGCGCGCATCCCTGGCATGATGCCGTGGAAGGGCGCGGCGTCGCCTCGGAGTTGTGACCGGTCGAGCCCTAGGAGCTCCAGCGTGTTGGCATACAGGATGTTGAGGCCGCTGCCTCCGTCCATCAACACCTTGGTGAGTCGGGTGTTCCCGATGATCGGGTCAACGACGAGCGGGTACTGGCCGGGGTTTGGGACATGATCGGGGTGGTCATCCCGATCGAAGGTGATCGCCTCCCGAGACCAGTCGAGGTACCGGGGAGTGGCCACCTTAACCGAGAAGACCTCTCGGCGTTCCCTTTTTCGCTGTCGCGCCGTGAGGCACGTCGAGGGCCCACCGAAGATCATGAAGGCATTGTGTACCTCGGGGAACCCGTCGCCCTTGTCGTTGTCTCCGTCGTCCTGGCCCCTCTTCTTGGCATCGTCGTTGGGGAGCCCGAGCTTGGCGTAGTATCGCCGGAGCATGGTGCACTCCTCGAGGGTGTGCTTTACCGGGCCCTGATGGTATGGGCAGGGTCTTTTAAGCATGTTGTCGAAGAGCCCTGGGCCTCGAGGATTCTTACGGTCTGCGGCCGTGACGAGCCCGGCCTCGAGAACCTCCTGTTTCCCCTGGCATCCCTTCTTTTTCTGGGGGGGGCGAGACATCGAGGCCCCGGGGGTCTCCTCCCGCCTCTTCCCCTTGGAGTCGTTGTTGGGGAAGATGGCCCCGATGGCCTCTTCGCCAGAGGCAAAGCTGGTGGCGATGTCGAGGAGTGCGGATGCCGTGGTCGGTACGCTCCGGCCTAATTCTCGGACCAGGTCTCGACAGGTGGTGCCGGAGAGGAATGCCTGGACGATTTCTGAGTCACCGATGCTGGGCAACTCGGTGCATTGCTTGGAGAAACGTCGGATGAAGTCTCGGAGAGACTCGTTCGGTCTCTGGCGGCAGCTCTTGAGGTCCCAGGAGTTCCCAGGGCGCGTGTAGGTGCCCTGGAAATTCCCGACGAAGACCTTTACCAAGTCGCGCCAGTCGTGGATTTGCATAGGGGGAAGGTGTTCGAGCCAAGCTCGGGCTGAGTCTGACATGAATAGGGGGAGGTTGCGGATGACGAGCAGGTCATCGTCCGCACCGCCTAGCTGACAAGCCAGACGGTAGTCGGCCAACCATAGCTCGGGGTTGGTCTCGCCGCTGTACTTTGAGAGATTCGCTGGCTGACGAAACCGGGCCGGGAAGCGGGCGCTGCGGACAACCTTACTGAAAACTCTAGGGCCAGCAGCCCGGGAGAAGGACTGCGGTCCTCCCCACTGTCATAGCGACCGCCTCGGTGCACTCGGTAGCCCCGGGCGGTCCAATCATGGTCATGGCACCGTCGTCTGCCGCCCATGTGGTGGCCATTTTGCGCCTCGCGTTGGTCGTCGAGGCGGTCGTGCACCGAGGCGGCCCTGAGGCGGTCGTGCACCGAGGGGGCCCTGAGGCGGTCGTGCACCGAGGGCTGTTTCAAGGCGTCCCCGCGTCGTCGAGACGCGGAACTTTCGGCCTGCTGCACCGCGGCAGTCTCGAGAAGGCCCCGGAGTTCGCCGTGGACTCGTCGCCCCTCCGTGGTAGAGGGCTCGGGCATCGCTCTGACCAGTATTGCCGCCGCAGCGACGTTCTGGCTAGCGCGATTGAAGACAGGGGGTTGCTCGCCCCCTTCATCATCGTTAATGCGGCGGTTGACGTCGCGAGCCCCCAGCCGGGCCGTTCCGCCATTGCCGCGCCCCCGCTGCTCTTGCTCGAGGGTGGCTCGGAGTTGCTGCAGGAGGAGTCGATCTTGCTCGACCTTGGCTTGAAGCTCACGGAGCTGCTCTAGGTCTATGCGTCGAAGTTGCTCGGGGGTGGGGATACCTGCCGCCGCTGGCGGGGACCCCATGCGTGGTGGTGTGGCGTTGGCTGCCCTTCCTCCATCGTTGCCCGTGCTCGGTATTCCGAGTCCGGCGATGGAAAAACACCGACGAAGTCGGGTCGTAAGCGCCCTCGCCGCCGGAATCGGAATGGCCGAAGCGATAGTCGTTCGCGATCATAAGCGGCGCGACGCCTCGTGGTCGTGAATCCCGGAGAAGTCTGCTCCAACCCACGCCTCGTCCTCCTCCGAGGAGTCAGAGTGGGGGTGGATTAGAGTTGTGACTATGGGGTTATGGGCATGACGTTGATGAATGAAAACGAGGGCGGTGGCGTAGGAGGCGGCGACATTGGTCAGCCGAAAGGGTACAGGGGATGGCGCCGTCGCCATGCTATGCTCCGTCGAGCCGGGCTTCGGGAGGAGGCGGGGGATGAGCTTGATGATGGGGTGTCATTGTGCGCCACCGCCCTTTTCCCCGCCGACGCTTAAGCCGGACGGGGTCCCCGCTGAGGACTCTGTGTGCCAGCGGGGTATGGGATTCGGTGGAGCATGATCGGCGCTCAGTACTTACGTGGTGTTAGGGTGGACTTCGCCAGCGGCGCCGGCGAAGCTTGACGGGGAGCGGGCGGGCGGCGCCGTCCGTCGTGGTGGGCTGCCGGTGCAAGACGTCGTCGTCGGTTGATGGCGCTCTGGGTGAGAGGAGTACCATGTCGTACTCATGCCCTAGAGACATGAATTCTAGGCTCCTAAACCAGACGATCGTCCCGAGACGCAACGATCGCACGGGATCTGCCATCCGGAATCTGGTGGGATGACTAAGTCGACACGAAGAGGCCCCCTACCGGCGCGCTTAAGCTGGCCGTCAAGTTTCGGAACCGGGGTCCTTAACCGACTAGTGAATTTGTGCTGCGTGCTCCCAATTCCGGATGGAGATGCAAAGAGACACAAGGTTTATACTGGTTCGGGCAATGGATGCCCTATGCCCAGTCTGAGAAGGTGTTCTTGTATTCCTTGCACCGGGGTGCTCGTAGTAGGGGGTTACAAGCTAGGCGAGAGAGGGAGTTCGTCCCAGATCTCTGTGAGGGGAGGTGATATCAAATTACAGAACGAGGCGTGTTGTTCGTGCGAGTATCTGTGATTCTCTCCGTCGTCCTGGAAACGGTCCTGGCTGCCTCCTTTTATAACCGCAGGGAGGAAACCAGGAGTACATAAGAGAGCTACACGTGGAGCAAGGACTATTCGATGACGTATTTACTCCTTGAGCAGCATGACGTTGTCGTGGGAGTTCCCGTAGATGTCCAATCGGTATGGTCTTCACTGCAAGTAACATGCTACGCATTCATTGACTTGGTGGATTGCAGAGGCTCGGCGGCCTTCGAAGCCCGTCGTGCCGAGGCCTGAGAAGTGACCCAGGTGCAGATGTGGGTCTCAGCAGCCATCAGGCGGAATAGTGCGAGACGTGCGCCTACAGGATACGGTACCTGTGTTGTCAGTAGGGATGGTAAAAAAGGTGATCTGACCGTTGTCCCGTCGCTCCTGTTGCAGCGCACTGCCGATCGTGGCTTACGTAGTGGGTGCGGCCGAGCGCATTAATCGGATGTGACAGCCTGCCAGAGAGACTTTTGAGGCGGAGGCGACGAGGTTGTGGGACGAGCCCGGCCTCGGGCGAGGCGGAGCGCGGCCGATTCGTCCGAGGCCCTTCCGAGGGGGTCTCGGGCGAGGCGGACGGGCGAGGCGTAGTAAGATCAGTGAATCCGAGGCCCTGTCGAGGGGGCTCGGGCGAGACGGAGTGGTCGGTCCGCTGATTCCGAGGCTACAGGAACCCGTTCTGACTCCCCACGTTGCGATGTCCTTGGTGCAGGAGTTAGGCAGCACAGTGGTCGGTAACCCCTGCTCTGTGCCGTCTCAGATGGCAGGGGGTTGACGCGACCGGTCACTTCGCCGTTCTGTGCCATCGTGCGTCTGTCGGAGTGGTTGGGCGCCTGGATGTGACGTTCGGTCAGAGCAGTTTGGTCAAAAAGGCGGTCACGGGGTTGGTGCCGAGCCGGCCTCGCGCGAATCGGAGAATCGGCACTTCTTCCGAGGCCCCGGGCGAGGGGGTCTCGACGAGGGGGCCTCGGCGAGGCGGTCTCGGGCGAATCGGAGAGTCGTTTGCTTCCGTTGGGGCTCGGCGACGGGGTCTCGGGCGAATCGGAGATTTCGGCCGAGACCTCGTTTGTTCATTCCGTTGGTTCTGTTTTTAGGGTCTAAGCAGTTCTTCGATCTTTGCTTGGGGTACCCCATTTTCTGGTATCCGACAACATGATTACTCAATCAGTGACGAGGAGCTTGCGGGAATTGATAAAAATAAGCAAACCTTGATTAGTTCATTATCAATTGAAGATCCATCACTTCGGATCATTGCTGTCTGGGGTATGGCTGGCATTGGAAAAAGCACTCTTGTCAACAATGTGTACAAAAATGAAGGGTCCAACTTTGATTGCCGTGCATGGGTTTCTATCTCTCAGTCATATAAACTAGAAGATGTATGGAAGAAAATGCTGACAGATCTCGTCGGGAAAGATAAGAAAGCATTTGATCCTGGAACAATGGATAGTGCAGAACTAAGAGTGCAATTGACAAAAACTCTAGATAAAAAAAGGTACTTGATCATACTGGATGATGTCTGGACGGCTGATGTTCTTTTCAGAATTAAAGAGGTTCTTGTAGATAATGGCCTTGGAAGTAGAGTAATAATCACAACAAGAACTGAGGAGGTAGCTTCAATAGCTGAGGATAGTTGTAAGATTAAAGTAGAACCTCTTGGTGACCATGATTCCTGGCATGTATTTTGTAGGAAGGCATTTCCGAAAGTTGAAAATCATATCTGCCCTCCAGAGTTACATCAGTGTGGTAAAAACATTGTGGAGAAATGTGATGGTTTGCCATTAGCCCTTGTGGCAATAGGAAGCGTATTGTCGCTAAGACCGAAGAATGTTGATGAGTGGAAGCTATTTTATGATCAGCTTATTTGGGAGCTACACAGCAATGAGAACCTTAATCACGTGGAGAAAATCATAAATCTAAGCTATAAATACCTACCAGACTATTTGAAGAACTGCTTCCTGTATTGTGCTATGTTTCCAGAAGATTATCTGATACACAGAAAGAGATTGATTAGATTGTGGATAGCTGAAGGATTTATTGAACAAAAAGGGACATGCAGCTTAGAAGACATTGCTGAAAGTTATCTTAGAGAACTTGTACGACGGAGCATGCTTCACGTTGCACACAGAAACAGCTTTGGTAGGATTAAATGTATTCGTATGCATGATCTTGTGCGTGAACTAGCCATTTTCCAATCTAAAAGAGAGGGTTTCAGTACAACTTATGATGGAAATAATGAAGCAATGCTAGTGGGATCAGATTCTCGACGAGTGGCTGTGCTCCAATGCAGCAAGGGCATTCCATCAAACATTGATGCATCCAGGCTTCGCACCTTCATAACGTTTGACACCAGCAGGGCATCATCTTTGTGGTATTCTTCTATTTCCTCCAAACCGAAGTACCTCACAGTATTAGACTTATCAGGCTTGCCTATTGAGACCATTCCTAGTTCAATTGGGGAGCTATTCAACCTTAGGCTTTTGTGCCTCGATGACACCAAAGTTCTCCCTAAATCTATTACAAAGCTTCAAAACTTACAAACATTGAGTATTGAGAATGCGCAGTTAGTGAAGTTCCCAGAAGGGTTTTCAAAACTGAAGAAATTGCGACATCTTCTGGTTTCACGGTTGCATGATGTAACATACAACAGTTTCAAAGTTTGTGAAGCTATAGAACCATTTAAGGGCTTGTGGAGTTTGATCGAACTGCAAACTCTGTGGACCATTAAAGCAAGTGAAGTATTTGTTGCAAAACTTGGAAATTTATCCCAGCTGAGAAGCCTTATAATTTCTGATGTAAGGAGTAATTACTGTGCACAATTGTGTGGCTCTTTGTCAAAGATGTGCCAGCTGTCAGCATTAATAATAGAAGCATGCAACGAAGATGAACTGCTACAGCTGGATGATTTGACATTTCCAAATCCCCTTCAAATCCTTACTTTGGCTGGACGATTGTCAGAAGGAACTTTGACATCGCCCTTTTTCTTAAATCACGGAAATGGGCTTCTTAGGCTAATGCTACATTACAGTCAGCTTTCAGAAAGTTCAGTAACACACCTCTCTAAATTGTCAAACTTGACTGAGTTATCTCTTGTACGGGCATACACCGGCCAAGAATTATACTTCCAAGCAGACTGGTTCCTGAATTTAAAGGAACTTTACTTGATGAATTTGCCCCATCTCAATCAAATACGCATACAGAAGGGAGCTTTGGCCAGCCTTGAACGTGTAAACATGCATTGCCTCCCGGAGCTACGAGAGGTTCCAGTTGGTTTCAGACATCTCGAGTCCCTAAATACAGTAACTTTTGTTGATATGCATCCTGATTTTGCAAGCAGCATGCAACGATACACATACGGGACAACGGCATAAGGCAAGTGAAAGCTTCTCAACCTACAGATTAAACTTTCTTCATGTTTTTTCTAAGGTTTGTAAGCTTTATTATTTGTCGTTAGATGGCTTTTAACACCACTTACTTGTTTTTTTTTTAATTTGGATGTTTTCTTGTGTAGAGCTACAAGTGTAAAGTCTCGTTGCAATTAATGAAGATTCCCCTCACTAAATGATGAGGACATCACTACTTCGTCGCATACAAGCCAAGGAGAGGAGGAGGTATAGCGTGGGCGTCCAATTCATCTTTTTCACGGTGGAGGCCCAGTCCAACTGAAGTCGGAGCCCATCTCGGGTTTCAGGACCAGTCTGCCTTAAACTGATCACCCAGGACGCATCTGGACTCTGTTTTCGACGATCCACATATGGTTGGAAAGCTAATTTGATAAGGAAGCCAATGCAAGTGGTCTCACGTCAAAAGCCCTTCGAAATCAACGGGAATCGTCGAAATAAGTCAGCGTCCAGAATCTGCCAGGTGCTGCGACACCGTCTTTTGGTCCGTTGGACCGTGTATCGTGTTTGGGCCCATTAGGGGACGCGTCCAGGGGGGTGACGCCCAAGACTCTATAAATAGCAGCCGTCGCTCTAGTTAGGGTTTGGGTTTTGTTTAGTTCTTGATTTCCTCGTGAAACAGACATTGTTTTGCTGCAACTGTGCCGCCAAGGCTGCTTGCTGTTAACCAGGGCCCTAGTTCTTGATCTTGTTCACCTGTGGAGATTAGTCCTTTCGAATAAATACTTGAACTCCTTCTCATTATCATAAGCCTCATATTTATTTGTAATTTCATATTGTGTTCATCCCATTCTTGCTTGTGTTCTCGATTCGCTTGCAGGAAAGCCTTCTCGATGAGGTCAATCGCGTTCGCGTGGTTGATAACCAACGGAGCTGTGGTGTAACGGTTGTGGGGGTCCGAATCAGTCTTGGTTCGAAGCCTAGATCATGAACGTCGAGTCTCCACCAATCGACGCTATTATACCTTTTGGAAGATCGGGCCTTGTCTACATCAAGTGGTATCAGAGACCTTATTGCCCGTTAGGTATAACTTTGTTTTACCCTTTAGATTGTTACTGTTTTTGCAAAAAGGCAAAAAAGAATATACACCACCACATATTCCCTGTCATATAGCCTCGTTGTGCCGTGCAATTTCGTCTCTGTTTCGCGTTGTTGAGTTTGTGCCCTTGGTCAAGTTCTGATTGCTGGTTTTAGATCGTTTTTTAGTCAAGTTTGTGTTTTTCTCTTTGTTTTTTATCATAATCCGTGAACACCTTTAAGTCTTGTTGTATTTCTTTTATATCCATCAAACCCTAGTCCACGCCATCTAATTTATTACACTTGTCTTCACTGTTTCCATCAAATCCTTGCTGCCGTGACCAATTTTGCGCGCATTGTTCTCGTTTTGTCCTCTAATTCGGAGTCAGTTCGTAAAACTGGTCTAGTTTTCGCATACGGACTCGGATTTCAACGTTCCATATATCAAAATCGATCAGAAAAATATTTCGGATCCATCCGTCCCTGGTCTTGCCGGGTTCAGACATTTTTATTTTGGCCAAAAACTGGTCACAAGATCATCTTTTCGTGGTCACAAGCTTTTTGTCGATTTTGAGCACATCTTCTGAAATTTCCACAGGCCACGCTTTTCATTTGTTTAAACTCATATTTTCTGTGGTTACTTCTTTTGTGCTCCTAAGTGAAGAAAAAATATCAAAAAAAAAGAAAAAGTTAAAGAATCCCAAAAAAACAACGACAACCGAAAAATAGAGAAAAAAGAGAGAGACAAAAGTGGAACAATATTTAGAGGAGCACATAGAGAGCGCCATTTGAGCTGTGTTTGCGTGTGCTGATTTCTACCTTATTCATAATCATATTCTTGCTGTTCACATCACTTGATACATCTAGTACTTGGAACGTGAGTAGGCCAGCAACTAAGACAAGTACTTGAGATACTTATTCAGCTTTGCTATTCAGTTGCGAATTTTGCTATTCCTTGCTACTATATTGTGCCTATCAAGCTCTACTTTATTCTAACTAAGTACAGGTTGCCCTTGCAACTGTTACACTCAAGCTACAACGATACACATATGGGACAACGGCATAAGGCAAGTGAAAGCTTCTCAACCTACAGATTAAACTTTCTTCATGTCTTTTCTAAGGTTTGTAAGCTTTATTATTTGGCGTTAGATGGCTTTTAACACCACTTACTTGTTTTTTTTTTAATTTGGATGTTTTCTTGTGTAGAGCTACAAGTGTAAAGTCTCGTTGCAATTAATGAAGATTCCCCTCAGTAAATACTCCCTCCAGTCACAAAAATATGTTTCCGATAAGATTTGGCCAAACCTTAAAAACTACAAACATCGATAACTTTTAAGTCTTTTTGTTTGGCGACATGGATGATATATGTGCAGATTTGTAACTAATGGTGTATGCAACTGTGGTAACTAAAATGTGGCTTTGTTAGCATCTAGGTCTTCGTTAGAGATGCTTATATCTGCCTGCCGTAATGACCGGTTCGTGGAGTGGCCACTTAGGATATACTGTGCAACCACAAGACTATGGATCTGGTCTTAACTAATTACTTGAGTTTGTCTAATTTGATAGCAGCTTACAATACACTAGAGGGGGGTTCTAGGTTTTAAGAATGATGCTCAGCCTGCCTTTGGTTGACGTCTTGATGATTGTATGCCTACAGGGTACTCGCCCTTAGGAGGATGGTATCATTCACCTAGATTGAAGGCTGCATCTTATTAAACGTTTCCTAAAAAGTCTCGTAGTGAAACCCAGCCATCTTGGAAACCTTGAAAATGTGATATGGGAGTAATTAACCCTCATAAATAGGAATCACAACTTGTGGGTAACGTGCATAATACTTGACATGAAAAAGTCATGCCCGTAGGTGCAAGACAATGTAATAAAGAAAAAAAAGGCTTTGTATGCATAGTCATCTGAAGTACAATATCCAAGTCAAACTATCATTCTAATTCAGCATTATTAACACATAATTGCAGATCGACTCAGAAGGAGGAGAATATTCACTACCATTCACTAAAAAAATGGTTTTTGGCATTGCTGATTGGAAACATGATTGATAAAGTATAAGCAAATTGGTCACTAATCACTAGGCAAAAATGATAAATCAGCACCATATCAAAGCATTGACAATTGGTATCACCTTTTGCAATATGATTTGTCTGTGGGTCTACGGTTACCTTATGGCCGCCACCAATTGGCAGGAAGTAGGGTGGGTGCATTGGCGAACGGTTCATGATGGGTGTATTGAGCTTGGGCATTACTGTGGAGAGGAAATGCAGCACTAGAACTAGAAGCTGTTGCATTGACGTTGTTAGGGCATGACATGTCATCCAGGTACCTAGGATCCAAACTTTGAGCAGAAAGCAGCACAGGCACTGGCACCAAGAAAGAGGAACAGCAGGCGCCAAGCAACATCAGGCCCGGTTAATAAGATGAAATAGCAGAACTCAACGTTGTTGCAATACACTGTTATGTATTTATCTGTAATAATGTTGTTTCGGTAATTATTCGGAACCATTTCGAACTGAGAATGTTTCAGTCTATATACGAAGCATTTGGCAATAACATTTCAGAGTATGTATGTACTGAGCATTTCATAACATTTTCCAGTATTCCAGGACAACCTGATCTGACGACATCGAGAACACAACTTATTTAGGGCACTAAAAACGCATGGAAAAATAATGGAATTGGAATCCATACCTTTAGCAGGCGTGACCAGGCCATTGGCCTCCGTCAGGAGGGCATCCAGCTCCACAAGTGGCGAGACGATTCCAGGACATGGAGCCGCAAAGCTCGCTGCCGATGGATCCGAAGGTGCCTACAAGTCGACAACCAACACGGACCACGCCGTGGACTCGAATCGATCCGCCGCGGGCGCCGACTCAGCCGGGGGCTTGAACAACTGCTGTAGCAATTCCGCCGCCGGCGTCTCCGCTGGGGCTGCATTGCTGCAAGACGCTGTTACAGAACTGAATGAGGAACTCGAGATCGCTAGTAATCGGTGGGATTGGATAGATAATCGGACAACGGCCGCGGCCGCAGCCGCCTCCGCCACCGCCGGTAAGGTGCGCGGTCGGTTGAGTTCAGGTTCGCGTATCCGGTAGTTCGAGTTCTTCTCTCAGCTCCCGGAGTTAACGGGCCCCGCAGGGTCCCTTCTAATTACTTGGCCAACTCTGCATATGTTGCAATAGTTCGTTTCAAATGTTTCATTTGTTGTTTCTCAAAAAATATTTTATCTGCTTTTATTTAGATGCATCATATATTTCACACATATGTTGCAAAAGTATGTTTCAAATATTTCAGCATATTTGGTCTTATATTGCAATAAGTGTTTTCATGTTGCAAGTTGCAAGTGTTTTATCTAGATGTTTCATATGTTTCACACACATGTTGCAAGTGTATGTTCCAAATGTTTCATCTGTTTCAGACATATGTTGCATTCAAGTTTTTCATGTTGTAAGTTTTTCGTGGTTTGGAGGTATGTTCAGAGAGTGATGGGGCACGACCCGGGGGCTAGCGGATGGGGCGTGCGGCGCGCCTGATGTCCTGCGGACGGAGCGTGCTCGTCCTCGCTTATCCTAGCTCCTAGGTCTTACCCGCACAGAGAGAGAGGAGGGGGTCAGGGGGAGGAGCGGTGGGAGCGGGGCGAGGCGAGACGAATGGGGGCGGGTACCATGCATGGCGGGATGAGGTAGACGAGGAAGTACTGCAGCAATACAGTGGAGAGCGTGGCGTGTTTCTGCTGGGCCGTTCGGTATCGTTCGATGAAATCCTATCCCATGGAACGTATGGGCGTCAGCAATTTCGGTGTCAATATCCTTTTTGAAGAACCAAGAGAATCGGATACATATATATTCCTCACTTTAGTCTCTTAGCCTTTAAGCAATACAATATACATCATCAACGATTCCCCTCCTTTTGCTGCAAGTTGGGAGCTCGCTCGTTCACAATGC